CGCATTCACTTGGAAGCAAGGAGATGTAGGGTCCACGTTAGAGATAAATCTTAGTGTTACAAGTTAGCGAGAAAGGGAAAAACAAAAGAAAGCAACTCTGCTGTTTGAGGTGAGAAAAGACTTTCCTGGGAGAACAGTTGAGTTCCTATAATCCATGCTTGAGGTACACTGGCAAAGAAGGAAGATGTATTCATGCCTTTTTATATTATTATTATTCAGGCAGGAACCAGAAAAGATCAGAATACTTGCTGTTTGCAGGACAGTGGTGGGAGAATGGCTGGGACCCAGAGAGCTTTAACAACCACAAACATCAGGGCAGGTGTTCAGCAGAGTGATTAAGACGCAGCTTGGGACATTCGTGTCCCATATGGGAGTTTGAATCTGCTTGCACATCTTGGCCCTGGGGTGGGAATGGGGTGGGGGCACGGGACAAGCGCTTGATGGCTCAAGTGGTTGGGTCACTGCTGCCCATGTAGGAGACCCGGATGGAGTTCCCAGCTCCTTGTGACTTCAGCTAGGTCCTAGCAGTTGCTGACATTTGGAGAGCGAACCAGCAGATGGGAGATCTCCTTATTCTTCCCTCTTCCTGTCTTTCAATAAAAGAAAATAAATAAGTAAACAATGAGAGCCCTCCCCTAGTGATGCAACATGGAGTGAGGCCGCTAGAGGGAGTGAGGGGTCCAGGAAAGTGTTGTGGGGTGTGAGGGAAGGAGACTGGAGATTTAGTTCCTCCCTCTGGCACTCTTTCCCAGGAACGCAGCTAGATTTGAGGGGTAAGTGTCACCCCTGTACTGAGGAATCGTGCCCAGCAAACAGGCCGTGAAGACAAAACCCGCTCTAAAGGGAACTGAGGCGTGAGAGAGAGATTGAGTCACCTCTGAATTAAATTGGGATGCTTATTTAAATTTCTAAATATCACTGACGACAGAAGGGACAGTGCATGAGCCTCCACCCTCCTGTGGCTAACATAATGCCAACACACAGCTCTCTCTGAGAAGTTTCTCCCACTTGAGCTTTAAGGTCCCGCACTGGGAGCTCCATAAAGAGCTGGCACAGATGAGAACATTCTGGCGAGGTGAAGCCCAGGCTGGGTCTCTTCTCAATGACCACTTAGTTACCACTGTGAGCAATGCGACTCCAGCAGCGGTACTTGTGACTTTGAGAACTGGGGAAGGAAGAAGAAGGGAAACAGGATGTTCCTGACCTGTCCCATTCTCATTTCATTCTGTTCTGACTGCATTCTTTCCTGGCTGATGCAGCATGACCAAGTCCTGTCCCCCATGCTGCCACCGCAAGCTGACTACTGTTGCTGATAGTGGAAGCTGGCTGTGGCCTCCACCACTTTTTTTTCCACTTGTACCTTGAACCTGCATAAAAGTTATTCATGCCATTGCCATTCTCCCCTCCCAAGCTGCCGACACTCCCTCTAGAACCATGCACTGGGTCTTGGGCACATTCTTGCCCTAAGACCCAAAATGATGCTAGTATTTGTGAATTTTGCTCTTGCAGAGCCAATGTTGTATTCCCCCCCCCCCCCCACCATGTGTCCTAGTTACTCTCTGAGAAACAGTGTGCTGCTAGGGCATGAATTAAGTCCCCTTTGGTGTTGCTGGAGTAATTGCACACACTTCAGGGCTTGGAAGAAAGACCAGGATGCAGCCAGGGCTCCACCTCCAGTCTCCCCTGATCCTACAGGAATGCCCTGTGCTAGTAGCTCTCCATCCTCCTCATCCTGAGGGTGTTTGCAAGCTCTCCTCCCGGTCCCTTCCACAGTCACACCTCGCAGACTGGAGATGTCGCTCACCCCAGGCTGGGGAGAAGCTGGAGATGCAGAGACATTGAGAAGCAGGAGTTGTAGTGTGCACACCTGCCCTTTCCCTCCACAGCCACACCTTCAGCTGCCACACAGCCCTTCTCTCAGCTCACCCAAAGAGGGGACACAGCTTTTCTGATAGCTCTTGCGGGGATCAGAGCTTACGGGACTGTTCTTGAAGGAGGAAGAACCAGTAGAAGGAGGAAGGAGTTCTAGCAGGTGGATGGACTCAGGTTCCTCTGGGTGAGAGCTCCTGGCAAAGAATAAGCCACATGTAACTCTGGGAAGGGAAGCATTTTGGACTGCACGTTCCCATATTTTAATTTGAAAGGGAGTGTGTTACTTTGAAAATGAGAAGGGAGTTTGTGTTCACAGCAGGGATGCCGTTGAGTCATTTGGTATTTTATCCTGTCACTTAACGTTTAGTCAAGTGAGCTGTGCTGAGCAGCACGCCTGAGCTGACTGGAATGAGGGAATAGTCTTGGGTGCCGTAGGATCTTGGGGTCAGTTTGTGTTCTGTTTTGCTTGTTTTTATTGTTTGTTTGAGAAGCGTGGAGAGAGCGCGAGAGAGCGAGAATGAAAGAGTTTGCAAGAGCACTCCCATCTGCCAGTTCACTTCCTAAGTCCTTCAGAGATGTGGCTGGGGTGGAGGCAGGGTACTGGGAGCTCAGTCAAGGTCTCATTCATGGGTGACAGAAGCCATCACTGCTGCCTCACACGGAAGGAATCAGAGCCAGAGCTGGAGTTAGGGGTCAGAGCTTGGTATGGAACCCAGACACTCTGACATGGTATCCCAGCCTCTTAACTATTGGGCTATTCTCCTTTTCTCTATTTGAATCCAATGCAGAGAACTTCAACATCAAAAGTAAACTGGCTACCCCCCTAATTCCTTGAGCAGGCAAAAAAAAAAAATAGTGGTCATGCTAGGATAGCTATGACTGATCAGTGCTTAATCATGTGTTTATATTTGATTTGAACATTACACATTGTATATGTGGATTGATATAGCACATGGTCCCCAAAATGTACAATTATCTGTCAGTTAAGTGCAAAAATGCATAAAAAATAGTGGTGAGAAACTATATAACTCTCTTTATCTGAAAATTGAGATAGCAAACATTTTAAGCCTTTGAAAGGATTAGAGGTGTGAATATACATAAAGCATTTGGAATTAGGATTGTCTGCATAGTAGGAGCTTCAGCAAACATGAGCTGTCAATGAAGCCACTTCTGTAGGTCACACAGGCCCCATATGCATACAATGGGAGCTCTCTCCCATGCTCGCTCATCTCCTCTCCCCAGCCCTGCAAGCCACACCTGCAGCTGGTGGCTGAATAGTGGCCCACCTGCTAAGCCCTGAGTGCTGAGGGCTGCAGTGTTGGAGTGTTCCCCCTGCATGTCCTTCCCTGCAAGAGGAGCAGCCTGGAGGGTGCATTTGGCACCTGAGCTTCCATTCCTGGCTTGCTTCCCTCTTCCACACCCTACCCTGTCTAGGAAGGGTAACTGGGTTTGTGCTAACAGTTCCTCCAGCCTCATCTCTTGTTCATTCAGTTCAGCTGGGGTGAGGCTGGGAGACTGGGCATGGCATGTTGGGCTCATGGGACAGCCATTGGTGCGGTGGGTGCTTCCATCTCCCCTTGTGTTTGAACCCTCTTCATCATCTCTGTATTGGCCTGAGCAGGAGTAGCCAAAGGATGTACCTGGGGCTTCTTTATCTCCAAGACATTTCATTTGTCTGACCCTAATTTTCCCAGGAAACTGTGCCTTCAGACCTCAACTCCCTCAGCATCCACTGTCCCTTCTTTGGGTTTTTGATTAGAATTTGTGCCTCGTTTCAAGCTGCAGCATGAGAAAGAAGATCTGTGCAGCTTTGCCCTGTGGGCAGGGTAGGCAAACCAGGGCAAGTGGATCCTTGGCAACTTCCTATGCCAGGAGAGAGCAAAGGCAGGAAAGAGATAGTTTTATTGGTCTCCAGCTCTAAACATATTTCTGCCAGGTTTTCCTCCATCAGGAAAGCACTGCAGGATACTGGTTGCTCTGTTGATGTTCTGGAAACTCAACAAAAAATGTTATTTTTTTTAAAAGAAAATATTTATTTATGTATATATTTCAAAGGTAGAGTGACAGAGAGAGGGAGAAGAGATCTTCCGTCTGCTTCCTCAAATGTTCATAACAACCAGAAGTGGATCAGGCTGAAGCCAAGAGCCTGGACCTCCATCTCAGTCTCCCAAGGTGGATGATAGCAGTCCAGGTACTTGGACCATCTTCCACTTCTTTTCCAGGCACATGAGCAGGAAGCTGGATCTGAAGTAGAGTTGGGACTTGAACTGGTGCTCTGATGTGAGATGCTGGTGCCCCAAGCAGCAGTTTGGCCCACTGCACAGGGCACATCTTTCTACATGTCCCAGAAGACACTAGAGATTCTTCTAAATGGAAACGGACTTCCCCGCATTTGTAGGTCAGAAAGGGACTTCCTGCTCTATCATTGGGCCCCTAACCCCTAGACAGCGGAGCATGGATGTGGTTTGTGGGTCACACCTGCTGGGTATTTGCTAAAAAGACTTGGTGGGTGAGGGTGCAGGTGAAGGGTAGATAGGAGGGCACAGGATGGGAACCTGGGAGAATAAATACACCGACTTGAAGCGAGCTGGGAAAGGAAAGATGTTTGGAGGAGCTCCAGAACACAGTGTCCTGAAAAGTCACTACAGAGAAGTTTCTAGAGGGAGTAATGTACTGGGTCTACAAAGATAGTGAAGAGAGTTGAGGCTGAGAAAAGGCCTTGGGTTGGCTGTTGATCGTGAGTTGGGGAAACAGATGGCAGGGCCATGGGGTCAAGAGGCTCAGGGAAGGGTGGAACCGGTGGAATGCAGGAGTAATGGGAGGAGGGCCAAGACTATGCACAGGTGGAGGGGCTGGGGTGTGGAGAGTTGAGCAGGTATGTAAGCTGAAGAAGATGAGGAGCCTGCATGGAAGGGAGATGGTAACTACAGGAAGACTCCTAATAGAGTCAGGGTGTCCTACTTCCCTTCCGGAGCCCCACAAAGCCAGCACAGAGCCAGCTTGGATTGCGACACCTTTAATGCACACATGGGAGGGGCTGGGAGCTGGTGCTTGGGACGGGGTGCAGCATGGGTGAGGGAGGCTTCTCCCACGGCACCTCCCCACTTGGGGTTTCCACACCTCTCACCTCATAGCTTCATGACGCCGGCATCGGGGACTAGATTTCCCAGATAGTTTAGGATTCCTTTCACCGTTTGGTCCAGATCCTTCCCAATCTTGTGGCCAAGCTTGGCCAGTTTTCCCTCTGAGGTGGTTGCTAAGAATATGGGGAGAGGAATGTCAAGTTCAGATTGTTTCCCTCCCTGTCCTCTTCTACACGCGGAGCCACGACCTTCCCAGGCCCATCTCCAGACGTTCTGATCCCTTTCCCTAACTGACTGCTTCATTTCTCTTTCTATTCCTACATACTTTGCCCCAGACAGCCGCTAGCCCTGCCTGTTTCTGCCTGAAACCTTCTCAACAGCTCCTGCCTCCCGTGGCCCCTACCAGTCATGGCAGGCAGCTCTGTAGTTGCTTCTGTTTGCAGCTCAGTATTCATGTCTTGGTCCTCTCGGGGTGTGGAGTTGGGCACCTTGAGCTTTTGGCTCTTTGGCTTTATGGATTCTTTCATCGGATTCTCTTCGGAAACCAACTCTTCTGTGGAGATGAACACCTCCTTAGCAAGGTCCTCCTTGGAGACCTGGTTCTTCCTGGGGTGGCTGCTGGGGAAGAGCTCAGAAACTGATGCCAAAGATGATGAGAAAATCAGGGACAAGGGAAAAGCTCAATGTGAGAAACAGCCAGCAGGTGTCCCTTCCTGTCCCTTAATGGGTGGAGGTAATGAGTGAATTTTTGCCTTATTGGCATGTGGACATGTAGGGTTAAAACCCACAACGGAATAAAAGTCTAGGCCGTTAAAATGCACGTCCCTGGGAATTTCATTTCTCTTCGCAGATTCACCTTCCCAGTGACAAGAGATGAACTTTGCCAATGCTTGTTCCATTACCCGGGGCATATGAGAAGTTTGCAATTGCTTGCCTTCACCTTCTCCAGCTCCTCCAGGTAAGTTGGGGGAGCCATCCCGAGGGTAAGCCCTGTCCAGGGTCAATTAACAAGACAGAATCCTGTTGTGATCATGGTATTTGGTCTGGGGCTGGGGTGGGGAGTCTGGAACTGATAGACCCCTTTGACATCCTTGTGGAAACCCTTTTCTGGATGGGGGATCTGCTGTGGCCCTTAGCCCCACTCTCAGTGACTACCCAACATGCAGTACTATTCTAATGATTCCTGTTTGTATGATCTTGGCCGGTAATGCAGCAGGTGGGCTCAAACCAGGAGGGACCCTTTTTGCTGCATGTTTTCCCCTGGTAGAGGCCTGGGGGAGCAGGGAAGAGTTCATCCTTTCCCGAACAATCTCTCACCCTCACCCACTCACCCTAACGGAAACATCAGTAGGAGACTTACAGGTGTCTATGTGCTCAGGCTCCAGAAGAAATTCATCTTCTAGCCCTGAAAAAGAAGAGGTTGGGACTGACATTGTGGTTTAGCAGGTTGGACAACACTGGTATCCCATATGGGTGCTGGTTTGAGTCCTGGCTGCTCCACTTCTGAGCCTACTCCCTACCAATGTACCTGGAAAAGCAGTGGAAGATAACTCAGGTCCTTGGGCTCCTGTACCGGTGTGAGACACCTGGATGAGCTCCTGGCTTTGGCTTGACCCCGCCCTGACAGTTGCAGCCATTTGAGAAGTGAACCACCATATGCAAGATCTCTCCACCGCCCCCCCCCCCACACACCTCCATACCTCTGCCTTTCAAATAATTTTTTAAAGAGATTGAAGTGTCTCAATGCAGCTGACCCACAGCCATGCTTTGTAAGCCTGCCCTTTCTTCCCCTACATTCTCACTTACTCTCTTTTCCCCTTAGCCTTTCTAACACATTGTGTCATTTACTTTGTTGCTTTCTTCCTGAAGGTGTGTGGAGCATGACTGAGGTCTCGGTATATGTGCCTGGGATTCAGTGCATGGCACAGGGCACATTCTCAATACATAGGTGTGTGTGAATGTCTCATCCTGGTGCTCAGAAGAAGGGTGGCACAGAAGGGGAGTCTGTCTGAGTGGGCCAGCAGCACCAAAGACTGGAATCTAATTTGCATCCTGGAGGAACCATTATCTGCTCTGGTTTGGGTCCAGTTTGGCCCTTCTGGCCCTAGCCCAATGCTTTCTAGGCTGCAAGATCCCTGGCCATCCGTCCTATGCCCTGGCTCATGCCTGGATACCTAAGTCCTTGCAGGTGCAAACTGCTCCAAATAACCCTTTCTCTGCACACGCATACAATGCGTTACCCTGGCAAGGAGGGGTCTTCCATGGGGTCCAGGGTAGACTCACCTGGAAAGACAGCAGGGGCGGCCGAGGCCAGGCTGGCTAGCAGCAGGATGGTAAGGAGTCTCATGGTGGAACTGCCACAGGGCCTCTCTTCCCTGGGGGCGGCTGCTTGGAGTTGCAAAGAAGGCGGCTGGCAGGGGCTTTATTTATTTTGGGGGGTATATGTGGGCATTGAGGAAACTGCTTCAGGATTGGACCTGAGGCCACGCCAGGTTCTCCTCCTAACCTCCCCATTCCAAATGCCTGTAATTTGGGGAACTGGAGTTTCTGGGAAGCTAGTTACCAGGAAAGTAAGGCCCCCAGCCTTCCTCCTGGCTGGGGCCCTCGCCAAGGGTGTGCTCGCCCAGGTTGCATCCCTACCAGTTCTTGGAATAGTAACTCCTTGGGCGAGCATTCCCCTCCTTTAAGGCACTCACAAATGCTTCCATTTCATTTTTATTTGTGGGACCATTTGATTGTATCTGTCTCCTGCTTTAGAATATTGCTCCCATGACGGCTGGGAGTCTGTCTGTTTTTCTTGCACCATCAAAGTGGCTGGCACAGAAAATATCAGTGGAGTGAATGAATCAAACAAAGGTCAAGCTGTTTCCAGAGTGTAGCTAAAACTCCCCACTGGTTCCAGAATGAAGGAGTGAGGCGGGCCTGGGTTTCCATGCTTGCTGACAGGAGCTATCTGAATTTGCAACGGATGGGCCGTTTCAGCAAGCCAAGAAACCGAAGTTCACAGAGCAGAGATGATTTATACACCGTGACACCTACAGATGGGTTTAGACCTGGGTGTGTCTGCCTCTGCCTCCAGTCCAGGGTCCACAGCTCAAGGAGGAACAGCAGGGTGGAAATCCAGGGAGGCCTCTGGAGGGCATGTGGGGATGTGCCCACCACGCAGGTCTTGTCTTGGTTCTGGAAAGTGAACTGTTGCATTACCTGTGTCCTTCTGCAGATGCAAGAGGTTTTTTTTTGTTTTGTTTTGTTTTGTTTTGTTTTAATTGGAAAGTCAGATATATGGAGAGGAAGAGAGATTGAGCAAAAAAGTTTCCATCCATTGATTCACTCCCCAAGTGGCTGTAACAGCCAGAACTGAGCTGATCGATGGGATGTCCCTGACTGCTTTCCCAGGCCACAAGCAGGAATCTGGATGGGAAATGGAGCAGCTGGGACATGAACAAGTGGTCATATGCTCTTGGAGGTGGATGATCAGTCAGTTGAGCCATCCTGCCAACCCCTAGCTGGAAGTTTTAATGATTCCTCTAAAATCTCCACATTGCATCATCTCGGGAAGGAGAGGGCTGTTCTACCCTTAGACCCAGCCTCAGGAGCGAGAAGATCTGTGTGTGTGTGTGTGTGTGTGTGTGTGTGTGTGTGTGTGTGTGTCTCAGAGTGGCCAAGACCTTCCCCATATCCCACAGAAGGCACTCGCTTGTGCCTGTCAGTGAGAGGACTTCCCTTCCCGTTGCCTGAGGAAGGAGGGTGGAGGGGAGGAGGAACCCCCAGGGTTTGGTGGTTGTCCTGCCAAGGCCAGCACAGCTCTTTCTTGGGGCAACATGGTGAGATGCAGGAAGTTTGTCTTGGGCTGCCTCCCACCTCCCCTTCCTCCCCGATTTCCCCTCTCACCAGCCTGCTCCCTTCCTGCAGCCCTGGGGCGCGGAGGTATGGGCTGGGGCCAGATGAGGCCTTCACAGCCAGGCCCAAGGGACAGGGTTTCAGGGCTGCAGGCATTTTTACACATAACCAACTATCCACAGGCAGAGGCTGCTTTGTGTAGATGCTGGAGGGGTCTCTTGTTGTTTACTCCACTCTCTGCCAGTCTTCAGTGATTTTGTCCTTTCTCTACCTATCCAACTTCATTTCTTAACTCTGCCAACTACTCCTTACCGGAATGTTACACAGATTATCCCCCAATTATAATCATTTGGCTTAGAATTTAAAAATTTTATCTTACAGCAATGTGAAAGTGTATTTTTTGAGCTTAGAACTTTGGCCTTTTTCTGAGCTAATGATATGTGGTCCAGTGCTCTCTTGTCATGCAAGGTGGCAGTAGTGAGCTGGGACATCACAGGGTGAACAAAAACCACAAGGGTGACAACTCACCCTCCATAGTGTGTTGTGTTGTTAACATCGGATACATGGTAGGGGTTAGACGTTTTCAATATGCTCAGTTTTATCCAGGAGAAGAGAAGAGAGAAGGTAAGCAGAGGGGAGGAGAGGAGAAGGGAGAAGAAGATGGGAGGGAATTCCCATCCGCTCATTTACTTCTCAAATATCTGAACAGCCAGGGCTGGGTTGGAGCTCAATTTAGGTCTCTCATGTGATTGACACGATTGACAGCAACTCAGTGGCTTGAGTCAATCTCACTGGCTGTCAAGGTCCACACAGGCAGGAAGCCTGTGGGATGCGGATGCCTTAAAGGCTGGGCTGAATGCCTGCTCCCTCTGCAGTCCGCGTGGGCTGTTGGAATTCAGGATTCCTCAGGATGCAAGCCGGTCATGAGCTGCGGAGCCTCAGGCTGGTGTGTCTGCGGTTCCTCTCTGCGGGGTGCTCTTCCCTCTCCATCTGCTGGCAGGTTCCTGCACCAGGGTCCAGATCCAACATCCCCTCTTGCTGGAAGGAACTTGAGCTCCTCACCCTTGGTTCCTCACTTCTCCTGGGGTGCTATAGCGCATGGTTCCTCTCTCCAACTTCTCACCCCCTGTGTTGGAATCTATTGCTCTGACTGGTCAATTACTGTTTTGAGACTGGGAGTCACAGTTTATTTAATTTATTTAGTATAGATCTTAACACTTGCTAAGTACCCTGGTCTAGTTTTGTCAAATGAGTCAATTTGCTTGTTCAAAGTGGGCCCCTGGAGATGTTTGCCCAAAGAAGTATCTACTTAGTGTGTGTGATCTCTAAAAAAGCCTTCTCCTTTAGCAAGTAAATATTTCAACAAGAATGTGCTGAATGTCTGCCATACTCCCCTGCCGGTGAGTGTAGGCGATCCAACACCGTGTGCAGCACACCTGCTCCCTGCTCGCGCAGATAAGTTTGCCAGGGAAAAGGCAAGTCACTCAGTTAGGTGTGAATTTTGGGTAAACAAGGACACTATTTTTAGCATGACTATGTCTCAAACATGGTGCAAGACACAAGTATGTCTCAGGTATGTCTGAAATGTAGGTACATTTTTAAAGTTTCTTAGCTAGGTTGGCTGTGATTACTCTTGTAGTTCTTGTATAATTTCTGGTGCATTTTCTATCAGGTGATGAAATGAAGAACTATTCTTTTTTCAGGAGCATTCAATTAGCTGCCTTTACTGCTTGGGTTACTTGGATTCTTGGTAGTCAGACTCTGCATACACACACATATGTACATATTTATATACATATATTTAAAAATATATTTAGAGATTTATTTATTTCTCTTTGAAAGCCAGAGCTTGCAGAGAGAGAGACAGAGAGACAGAGAGAGACAGAGAGAGATCTTTCATCTGAATCACTCCCCAAATAGCCACAATGGCCAGATCTGGGCTATTTGTGTCTGCTAAGGGTTTTCATGAGAATTGCAACTTTTGTTCATACAGATACTCTTCTCTGTCTCTTGACAGGTTTGCCCTGGAATAAATACTAGATGATGTTAAGATCAACATTCTGCCTCCACTGCTGCTCCTGGCCCTCTCCATTTTCTTAGTGCACTTTGCCCAACCATTGCCTTTCAGTTTTTCTGAGTTACTTAAAGTTCTCCCCTCCCCCCATTGCCTTTCATGTAATCCCTCTTAGCAGAGACATTGTTCTCATAGTCTCGATGCAGCTCTTGTGGGCTGTGTATCTTGATTTACAGTCCAAGCCCTTCTTGCCTCTATGGAGAAAGGAATACAAAGTGGAGACTATCGTATATCTATGTATATTTCACGGTGAGAACAAGATAAACTTTCATGTGTCATGTGGGCTGCCATACGTGGAGAAACGCTCATCTTGATTGGGCCACTGGTTTGCCCAGGAAAGAGAATAGTATCTCCCCCGTGGTGTGAGACTAGCGGAACTCTGTTGTTCTCAGCCTCTTTTTCTGAGACAGGGGATGGCACTTCAATGGGGCTAAACAAATAGGGTGGGGCTTCAGCATGTGTTTGGTGCCTGCGGTGGCAGGTGCATCCACAGAAGGTGGGTATATCAAGCTGACAGGAAACGTGATAAACATTACATGTCAGCTCCTCTATACTTAACTAGCTGTCTAGTCATAACATATCACAACTGTTGAAATGAAAAAAAAAAAAAGCACCTGATGCACTATTGATAGTTTATTTCTAAACTACAGGCCTCAGTGAAATGTTACCTGTTATGGCAGTAACCATCTCTTATAACCAAAGAATGCAGCACTAGACTCTGCACAGCATTTGGTTGTCACAGTTTCTGTTTTCCTGACTGTCATAACATTTCCACTCAGTCCAGCTGTCCACGTAGCTGGCAGGGACCTAAGTACTTGAACTACTTTTCCCTTCTTTGTCATTAATACATATTTTATGGAAAAGTAATATGAGCCTATGTAAGGGCTCAAATATTACCGCGAGGATTGCCAAAGATTTATTCTCTACTTCAGTCATTCCAAGGAAGATCTTTCTCACATCCCCTTTTACTCGTTCATTCATTCATATGCATAGAATACATTGCATTAAATGGAGTTTTTCTTTTATTCAGTGAATCATAAAACTTTTGATTTGCATCTCTTATTGTGCATCATTGCAATCTTTTGTAATCGTTTCTGTTGAGTTTCATCAAGGACAAACTGGTAGTATTGGGATTAATCCAGCCTTCTGGTTGGCTTCTGTATGTTTTGAAAGCATCTCCATCGTTGCTTGGGCTCTTTCTTAGCTTCTGGCACTCCCAGGCAGTCCAGGTTCCCGTGGTGCTCTCTCTGCCCTGTCCCTGGGATCTACTGTACTGTCAGTGATGCTTGGAATCGGAGGAACAGGTGCTGTGTGTGCTCATGGTTACTGGGGTGCACAGCTTCCAGGCCGCCCAGTGGTCAAGTTAAGAAGTGCACTTATGTCTATATACATCCACGTTCCCACAAGTTAGCTGCACACACACGTGCAGTTTA